CGGGAGGGACTGGACATATAGGAAAGCTCCGTTGGAACAGGTTTATTGTAACAATGTTAACGATGTGTCAGCTAAGGTCAGATGGGTCTTTTTGATTTAGTGACTTTCAGCACATATTTGCCTGTCTGAGCTAAATGCAGTCTGTTGGGCCTCTTTTCTGAGTGATTGTTCACACAGATTCCATACTAGGTGTGCATGGTGTTGCATGTGCATGAGGTGAAATGGTTTTTGAATAGCAGTGTCTGAAGTCATACCCCCAGCTTGCCTTCCCTTGTGGCCACTGTATCATAGGCTATAAGGAGTAGGATAAACTTGACTACCATTTAATTTGGCCTCATGTTCTGAGTCTGCAAGGTGGAACACCAGTAGCACCCATGTTCTGTGACTGTTTGACACAGTTTACCTTAATTTTTCCATGGAGTAAATTAGTATTAGAAACTTTGATTTTTGACTTTAAGCAACTTTTTCTATCTCTAGATAGTTTTTCTTTCTATAGTTCCTCCTCCATACAAGGGACTACATCTTCTGCAGTGGGAGATTCCAGGTCGTTGCCCATCTTGCCCACAAAAAATAGTCTGCTGCCATTGTTTTTGCTTGTTTTGGGAGGTCATAAAGGAGTACATCTGTGTGCGTCATTCATTCAACAAAAGAACCCTAAGAACCGAGAAACAATATTTTAAACTGCTCTTGCTCGAAGTGTGTGCAGTCTCCTACTGGCAGATCAGACAAACCAGAACCAGATCACTCTTACCCTGGTTTAGTGCAACCAAGTGGTGGATCAGTATCTAGCTCCTGAGCTGCCTCTCTGTGGACACTTCTTCTACACCAGCAGTTATTTTAGAGAGGATAGGAAGGGACCCAGCTCCTTTGGCAGGTCAAGGTGCAGGTCACTTTATATAATCTCAGGTAAGAGATTTAGGATTCTTTCTTGGGCTTTGTTCTCCAAGTGTAATAGTTCTAAGTCTCATACTGGTAAGTAGTACCAGTATCCAAATGGACATTGAAAATTACTTTAGACTTCAGTGATGACATTGTATTCATTGGCACAGTTTTCGGCACTCAAACTTTTAGTCGCCAGTTGTCTCTTTCTCAGCATCAGTTGTGCCCTTTGCAGTTTCAAAGGGCATTGTAGCAGTGGTTGCACTGGAATTCTCATTCCAAAACTCTTCTTGTGTCACCTGATCTGTCTGGTTTTGGTACCAGCCTCCGTTTTGGAGCATGTGACAGAGACAATCTATAAACCCTAGTTTTTCAATTTCATTGGACACAGTACTAATACATCAGTTACTGTGGATCCAGACCCCACCATGTTTAGAAGAGGTTTGCCGTTTTTTCTTCTCCAGACCACAGTAGAAGTTCTTCCGTGCTTTACTACTTCTTCCTGATAGTTTGCCAGAGCCAAGGCTGGAACTTGCACCCAGACCCAATATTGAGCGACCTGATGTTCTGAATGCTGACTGGATGCTTTTGTTTAAAGTAACTGCTTATGTGAAGTGCAAACCATTCTCTTGCATAAAAAAGTCTTCCACCAGGCTAACATATGACTAACATAAAATGTTTTCTTTTTGTGTGTATTCAGCAGAAGCCTCTGCTTTTGACCGCTTCAGTACTGCCAATACCAGACTGGTTACTTGCTGTGAACCAATCTGCCTGAACCCACTGCCTGAGGTGCCATCACTGGATTTATGGGACCCCTTTTCTTTCCATAGCAGCTTGCTGTCTTTTGTCACCTGTGTGATGGCTGTTACCTCTACTAGAAGGTTGGGTGAAATTCAGGTCCTCTACCTACTGTATTCTTTAAGAACAAAGACATACTTGGGCTTCATCCCAAGGTCCTTCCTAAAGTAATTTCTGATTCCCACTTTAATTAATTAGCCCAGCTTCTACTTCATTTCCTCCAAATCCTCATTCCACCCCATGTAATACAAAATTGCATACCCAAAATTGGGTTAGGGCTTTTCATTTTTATTTGGACAGAACCTCTTCAAGTTTGTGGCATTAGCAGAAAGGGTTAACGGATGCCCTGTAGCCAGCCACCTAGTAGTTGCCCATGTTACCTGGAAGGATTATCTGGGTTGTTCTGTAATCCTCTCAACCGAGATACTAGCAGTCTCTTTTGCTGCTTTGAGTAATATATCAATATTAGAAACGTGCATAGTTCCTTGTACAGCACTAGTCACACATTTTATTTCTGTTGTTCTTTGATGCAAACTTTTAGATTTGGTGCCAGGTTTCAGTTACAACTGTCCTGCAGTCCCTCTTTGACTAGGAAACCATTTCTGATCTCCAGGCTTTGCTGTAACTAAATGTCACCTATGTAGAGTGTAATCTTTGTGGACTGTTGCTCAAAGAAGAGATCATAGTTGCTTCTTTTGGTTTATGTAGATTCCATGACCACTTCCTTTCTAATATGGAGTTCTGTTGATAAGGGATTCTTATTAGGGAAGGAACTGAGTCCTGTTTGAGGGCCTCCTGTCCTTTTCATGCTTGGCTACAGTCATTGTGATAGGCTGAAGAGGGCAGATGGACACTACTATTCAAAGAGAATCCCATTTTGAGCAGGTGGGACCCAGGTATCCAGCTTGCATTAAATGCAAGTTGGATTCCTGTCTCCTAAATTCTTTGAAAAAAGAATGGCTACCTTAGAGCAACAGTAGTTCTTTGAGATGTATTGTTTACCCTGATTCCACTTTAGATGTGCCTGACACTGTGAAGATGTTTTAAAAACCTCACCTATTATCCTTTTATTTATTTATTTTTTAAATCTTGACTCCTTCAGACTTGCTGTAACAAGATCACTTAGATTTCAAATATCCAATAGGGAGAATATCAGACAGAAATGACAGTTATGTGCCCATCTCCTCCTGAATATCTTTTGGAGCTGGGTACCTGCACTATTACTTGTACCTTTACAAAACATAAACAAGTGCAGCCTGCTGCATTAGCTTCATGTTGCCTATGCCAATCCATCTGAACCTTCTAACTTCCTGTATAGTTACTTATAAATGCCAGATCTTCTTCGTCATCACTCTCCTGCCAGTTTCAACAGGCATGATATTTAGGCAATTCATTCTTTCCACCAGCATATCTAATTATTGGGTCTCAAGTGCTAGGTTTTATCATGAAGGACCATCCCAGCAGCTTTAGTGGGGATGGGGTAAAGATCAGGCAGTGGAGGAACTGCTTTCTGGACAAGAATGAGATGTGAGCTTATAAGCTCTTTTATGCCAATTACTTTTCTGCCTGGATAAGAATTTTGTCATTCCTCTAGGAATCCTTCTTTTCCTCAGTTCTTACAGAATCTGTCCGTATCAGATGATATTGAGAGATGCTAGTAGGGCCAGGAACAAGCACCACAGTAAAATCACCTGGACTAATGCCTTCTGTTCAGTAGGAATGCCAAACACTCAGATACTCAGGAATGCTCAAATACTCAGAAATAACCAGCTATTTAAGAGGTTGCTGCAAACTCTTCAGACCCCTGCCCTCTCTGAAGTCAGTTAAGTATCACCTTCGTAAGGAATCCACTTATTGTTTGCATTTTCCTTGTGAGTTTGGTTGATAGGGCTGTGGCCTGGGGGAAGATTGGCTCATACTATACAGTTTTCTCCCACTATATGTTCAAGTGCTTCTCAGTTTGTGTTAAGTCTTTGAAAAATATCTTCACTGTTTGTCATTTTTCAGATTGCCAGCCAACTTTAAATAGATTTGTGAAAGGACAGAAGTTAGCACTAGCAGAAGAAAGATAATATTATGTGCACTTTATGGTGCACATATATTGTGCTGTAGCCAGCATCACTATCTGTGGTACTTCTTCCTCTTCACAAGTACCATCTTAAAAGAATATCATTGACCTTCCTTCAGAGCTTAGCAGTTACTTTTTCAGGATTATGATGATGATGATGATCATCATCATCATCACCATCATTATAGTAGTACCTAAATGCCAAACAAGAAACATGTCCCCTTGTGCCAGGCACAGTACAATGCAACACCATCCTTGTCGCAAAGTACTTGAAAGAGACCCAGGATGGGAGAAGTTTTGTAACACAGATTGAACTACACGACAGTAAGTTTCATGCTCCACTTTCTGTGGGAGGGAAGGGGGATAAGTATTG